GCAGCCACAAGGCTGGACAGGGCCTGAGACAGGCTGCCTAGGGCCTACCATGACACCAGCATGGCAGGACAGGCAGGGGAGGGAGGCCTAACTCTGTAGACTGGACATGTACGGAGCGTCCTCGGCGGCCTGGGAGGCCCAGGCCAGGGCTCACAGAAGGACTCGAAGCTAGGAGTTTAGAGAAGCCTCGTGGAGGGAGGGCCAATGTAAGAGATGCACTTTGGCAGGAGTGAGGGTTGGGTAAGAACCTCACACCCCTCATGACAGCCTACACGGTGCTGGGGACTACCCTGGTCCCCACCACAAGACTCTAGCAGATGCATCACCTCAGGGCTCACCCTGGGCAGGTAGGAAGGACAGGGCAACACCCTCTGTCCTGACAGTCTCAGGGTGACCTTCAGAGTCTCAGGGTGACCCCGTCTCCTCTCGGGACCTCGTCTGGGGCCCCTTCTCAGCCCCAAAACACTGGAAACAGAAGACAGGGGAACATGGAACCCTTGCCTCAGCCCAGGCCAGTGACCAGGGAGCAGGAGCTTGGGTGCAGGGGCTCTGTGACTCTGCAATCAGACCCACACCCTGATCCCAGCACATCTTCTTCTGGGCTAAGTGTGGGAGCCCTGGGAGACACAGGCAGGGAGGGGTTTGACAGCAGAGACATTCCTGGGGCTGCTCTGACACCCAGTGGTGATTCTCGGAACCAGCTGCTCCCCAGCCAGGAAGTAGGGCAGGGGGCAAGTAAAGAGGGAGCAGGGGGTGGGATGGGAGGGAGGTTGAGGCTGGAGGGACTGGGAGAGAGGGTGGGAAAGGTAGGAGGAGGAAGTCTATTTTAGGCCAGTGGTTCTCAAGACTTGAACTTGCAATGGAATCAAGTTGGCTGACTTGCTGATTCAGGTCTGGGCTGAGCCAGAGTCTGTATTTCTAATAGATTCCTGGGGGCTGCTGGTGGTCTGGGATCACACTCAGAGAACCACTGGTCTAGGAAAGACATGGAGTGGAAAAGAAGGAACATCCGTGCTACTGCTGTGTGTCTGTGGGCTGGTCCTGCCGTTGTTGTGCCCAGACTTGAGGAGGCTATGCGACGATCCCATAGTGCTGGCCCCAGAGTCCTTCCCGAGATCCCTCTGGCACATGTGCTGAGCAGGTATGGCCTCCCTTGTCCCTGCCATCCCCACCTGGGCATGAGAGGCAGCTCCCGAGAACTGGGATGATCAGCCTCCACAGGCACCACACCCGCAACACCACCCCACAAGGACCCAGGGCCTCAACCTCCCCCTGTACCTGGCACACGTTCCCTGGGCCCATGAGATGCTCACTTGGCCTCGGACAGGTCCCCGAAAGAACTGGGCGGGGCCCTGCCTAAGGGGCTGCTCAGGAGCACCCAAGGCTCACTGCCCGTTGGGGGATGACCCTGCTTGAGGAACGTCATCTGGATGACGAGGGCTCGGGGGAGGTGCCTCTGACCTGATTTACCACTGGCCAGGCAGAGGAACAGCCAGGAGCTGTGCAAAGCCAGTGTCAAATGCCTGCCTCCCACTGTGTCGCTCCCTTCCTCAGTGTTTTGAGCTGGAAGAGGAAGAAAGGCTCCCTAGGATGTCAGTAGGCACAGCAAGGGTGGAAGGGAGATGCTACTGGCAGAGGGGAGAGGAAAGCAGAAGTGGTCCGGGCAGGTAGTGCTTGGAGAAGCTGGGACCAGGGGCGTTGAGGCTGGAATGAATGCCCTGGGGACTGGTGAAAACTCAAGACTCCAGGCCACCCTGGACCCCTCCGGCCTTTCTGGGCTTGAGCCCCAGAGATATGCACTTGTCCTCAGCACCTGGGCACCGCAACCTCACTGTTCCTGAGCCAAAGCATGCCACATACCACAACCCAGGTAAGGCAGGGAGGTCTGTTCCTCCCAGCGGCTGAGGAGACAAAGTAAGTCACACAGAAGCAGGCAACAATGTATAATTCTCAGCAAAGGGAGAGGAGGAGCAATCAGGGGCAGTGATGTAATCTGCCACAATGCCCAGTAAATACCTGATGGGATGAATGAGTTTAACAAATGTTTGAAATGACTACATCCGTTGCTGGAAAGCATGACTGTCCTTCTCTAGGTCCAAACCTGCCCATCAGTTGGTAAGTAGGGAAAGAAATAACTAAACAAGAACAACAAAATCTGTGACCAAATGGTATTTGTGTTGTGTGAACCAGTAATTTACATGTAATTTGCAAACACCTACTGTACTAATCCCTAAATATCTTGCAAGTAAGGGTTAATAGAAACTGATTTCCATTGAGTGTCTAGGATAGTTGGCCATTATTATCTGCCATTTACTGTATGTTCATCAGGAACTGTAGTTAGGGCAGCTTCTTCCTGAACTTGGACTACGCCCTGTAGCCAGGGCCATGTAACTCTCACCACTGGACTGTGAAAACGTTGAGCATCACTGCCAAGCTGAGGAATGGGTCTATCTTCACCATGTTTCTCTTCCAGCGGGATGTAGAAGCATCCATGGAAGGACTCCAAGACAACCAGATGGAAGCCAGTGTGGTCCCTGAATGACAGCCTGGGACACAAGTCTCCCCTTCCTATTCAAACCACAGGACTGGGACTTAAACAGTAAAGCTTTTGGCACTCAGCTCCTGAGATCTGAAGTGGCTCAGCAGTCAGCCTCTGCATACGTGATGCCGACTCTCACTTCCAGGTCTTGGTGTGATCCTTCGGGTGGAGACTAAGGTAAGAGCTTTGGACAGTTATGCTCCAGGGAAGCCTGTCATCCACTAGTTCCACATAGCCAACAAGAACACAACCCTTTCAAGAGCCCCACACTGGGATGAGTAACTTTTGTACAATATCCTTCATTATATTAGCAATAGCAAAAGTCAAATGGGTACTGGACTAGATCAAAGAATAAATCAAGGGAATGAGGAAGTTTTGGTGTTTTTTTTTTTTTTTTTTTTTTTGAGGGAGTTATGTGCTGATATGGAAATACCTCAGACCTGTTATGTGGGGAAAAAATGAAGTATAGAACAGCAGACATCAGCAGTTTTCAAGGTATGATCCAAGGAACCCTGAGAGTGCCCAAGATCCTTTCAGAGAGCCTGCTAGGTCCTCCCTTTCCAACTACATGTCTATGTGCAGCCAGATTTCCTTCTATTCCTCAGCTAAAAAACAAATCACAATAGACTGAATGCAGAAGCAGGAGAATCCAGCTGTTTTCTATTAAACCATATGCTAACATTTTTTCAAATATGAAAACGCTTTGCCTCATTGATTTTTGTTTTAGAAAGTATTTTTTATAAATTCTAGGTTTAAAATGTCACAATAGGTTTATCTTTTTTAAGTTTTTAGTTTCTGAATTTTATAGTATGATAAATATTGATAAATATAACTCACATTTAAAAAGCTCTTTTGGGGGGTGGGGCGCCTGTGTGGCTCAGTTGGTTAAGCACCTAGCGTCTGCCATCAGCCTTCAGCTCAGGTCATGATCTCTGGGTCCTGGGATCAAGCCCCCCCTCAGGCTTCCTGCTCAGCAGGGAGTCTGCTTCTCTCTCTCTCTCCCTCCCTCTGCCACTCCCACCACTTGTTCTCTAATAGAAAAATAAAATCTTTAAAAAAATAAAAATAAAAAGCTCTTTGCGGGGCGCCTGGGTGGCTCAGCTGGTTAAGCATCTGCCTTTGGCTCAGGTCATGATCCTGGGGTCCCTGGATCGGACCCCCACACACACCCCTATCAGGCTCCTGCCACGCGGGAAGTCTGCTTCTGCCTCCCCTGCTCCTGCTCTCTCGCTCACTCTCTCTCAAATAATTAAAATCTTTTTAAAAAATAAAAAGCTCTTTGGAGGCCTCCAAAAATTTAACAGTATAAAAGGATCCTGAGTCTAAAAAATCTGAGTACCATGGGTGTATACACCACCCTTTGTGTAAAAAGGGGAGAAAAATATCTTTGTACTAGCTTATACATGCACGAAGGATCTCATGAAGGATAAACCAGTAGTGGTCGTGGTTAAGCAAAGAGAGAGTAGGAAAAGGGCAGGTGGGAAAACCCCTTACTGAATCTCTCATTTTTAAAAAAAATTCTGGAGCTATGTATATGTATAGCCTATTTAAAAAAAAAAAAAGTTTTATAAAGAGCTGGAAGCAGCAGGGGTCAGCCTGGCAGTAGATGGGGACAAAGTCAGCCTGGAAAGGGGAAGGGCTGTGGTCTGTGTATGGAGTGTCTACCCTCCTCCACATCCAGAAATTGTCTCCAGGCAAAATTCTGGAGGATTCTTCTCTAAAGAGGTGAAACCAAGAGACCCAGAGCTTCTAGTATGAGATTCTTCATCTTAAACTATAACATACAACCATGTATCACCATTTAATCAAAGTCTGCAATAGGTGAGGTAAACAGAAAAACTAGCCCAGAGGAACCAAGGCAATTCAGGATCTAAAGAAAATTCAATTTTTAAAAACAACAAAAAACACAAAATCATGCACCCCAAAATACTGGAGAAGTTACTGAACCCACACTGCCAAGTGGATCTGGTTGAGGACGATGATACCGTCAGTTTTCTAATTCTTAGAAGAATTACTGCACATGCCATTCATATGTTCTTGTGGAAATTATACCTTATTTATATGCACGCAGCAGAGAGAGAAAGAATGTACTTTAGTATCAGATACAAACCCATTTCACTTACTACCTGTGTGCTCCTGAGACAAGTATTTAACTTCTGAGCCTCAGTTTCATCCAGTATAGCCTGGATGATACCTGCCTTACAGTTACTTCAAGACTTTAATGAGTCATTGTTTTCTGATGTGGTAACGCATTCCCCAGCACTTAGGGCATTCTCAGTAAGTGCCATTCTTATTGCCCATGATGCAGCAGAAATAGCTGACAGTATGTTACTGTAAAATAACCGGAAAAAAAAGATTGGTGGTTGCCAAAGTGGGGGGTGGGGAGTGGGAGAAATGGGGTAAGCTGGGTTTTATTTTTTAGTTCAAATAAATTAAAAAAAAAAGTCACAATGAAACATGCTTTATGGTTAATCATTTAATGTATTAACATTTTCACTTATAAACATACAATTTGCATATATAGGGAAAAACAGGTTCTGTGGACACAAGAGAATACAAGAGACAGGGAAGCAATCAGAAAATAGATCAATTCTAGGGGGAAAAAAATGGACCTGCATTCCAAGCCTCTGTCTACATAAACTTGGGAAGGAGAAAGAAAAATGAAACAGGATCATAACTGATGTAGAAAATAAAGTTGGGACATTTGTCTCAAACACAGGAACGTCTCCTTATGATCCAGGTCTTGGGGCCTGGCCTGTTTCAGGATGATCATCTGAAACACAGCCACTGCTCTCTTCCTTCTCTTTACTATGACCCGAAGTGCACTCCAGGAATTAAAAGAAAAATCAGATCGGCATGTGTGCAATGTCAGTGGCCAACTTCTTCCAGGTACATTATACAGAAGTACATATGAACGCGGAATGCTTACTCACACATGAACAAGTTCCTTCCACCTCATCTAACTTGTTGATTTAGGATTACATAAATTGAGGTGATCACAGAGTTAACATCTTTGGAAGTTGGACCAGGGAAATGAAGTATCTCAGCCCATCTTTATAACTACTATGCATTTCATATCAGCATCAAGTCACTGGCAACAGTGAATTTCCAGGCTCAACTATGTCTGCGTATTTTGTGGAAACAGGGCCACACGGAGTGTGAGAACAGGCACTACTACTGTGCTAAATTGCCTTGGTAGAAGTACATTTTTTAAAGCATGCAGGACAGAAAACTGGACTAATTAGAAGCTTTAAAAATTCACATAAATAAGAGAAGTGCAGGATTATGGGTTTTCCAGAGCTTCACACATAGCTGGGGCTCAAAATTAAATGTTTAAGCTTCTCTGTGACACCTGAGTCAGGAATAAAAACAAAGCTGGCGCCCTGGTCAGGTTCACTAATATCTTGACAGCAAGTCATTCAAGTCCTTAGGCTTCATTTCCCATCTCTAACCTGAGTCTCCCCCACAGCCATGGTCCAAGAGCCCTCACTATGCCACCACCAGGGCTCCATGCACCCTAGTGCTTGGGGACAGCCACAGTGCCCCAGTCCTGCACAAAACAGGACACCTGCTTTTTAACAGCCTTCAGAAGGTTGGGAAAGAGCATCCTCTGCACAGTGCAATCTCTGGAGGCCTAACACAGTAACACTGTAAGTATGGCTCTCATTCCATTTTCCTCACCATTCTTCTAATAGCACTTTCTCAACAGGTAGAAAAATAAGCTGTAAATAGGCTGAGGTGGCAATAAAAATACTCAAAGCAGACACTAAAAACATAATGTCTCTGAATAAAGCAAATCTATCTCCACATACTTGTAACTGTTTTGCCTTCTTCAAGTTTTAAAGGATAAAGCCCTAAAACTTTGAGGCTCAAGTCAATTCCTAATGTGGGATATTTTCCAAGTATCGCTACCAAGAAAACAAAGAATAAAATGAAGAAGCATCATTTTAAGGGGGGGGGAGGGGGAGGGAGGGCTGCCCCTCCCCCACCATCCTGAGCAGTCACTGGCCCCATAGATTGTGGGAATACCAACCCCACTGCCTCAGGGAAGTTCCTGAGAGCTTACCAGCTCATAATTCCTGAAGTTACATGCAGCCAGTTCTGATCTGAGGCTTGAAAGTTTGATATTAAACAGAAAGAAGCTGCAGTTCTCCTTGCCACATAACTCACTCATACATCACCATACTATTATAACACTAAAGTAAACTGTCCCTTAAGCACTACACCTAACTGAAAAGAAAACGCCTTTCAAAACAGGTATGTTCAAAATAGGTATGTTCAAAATAAGGTATTCCAAGAGTTCTATAAACAAACTCCTGGAATGAGCCAGTGCCCCAGAGTCATGTTTTAGCTAAACAGAAATCAGAAGCCTTCTCTACAGTACGTGTATGGATTAGTTATAACTATGATGTCACCACTTTCAAAAGAACTATTCAAACTATTATTAACATTTATCACCAACAGAAAACACCCTGCAAATTATAGTATTGCACACAGGGCATCAGAAGCTATGCATATCCAGATCTGAAGGACTCTAGAAGACCCAGAACAGAGACCCTAAGGCCATGCCCGTGGCTGCCCCAGCCAGCATGCCCAGTGCCAGATCACTGTCGCTGTCTCGATACCGCTCCCGAATGATGACTTGGTTGGCAGGCTGTTGTCCATAAAGTCCTAAAAAAGAAGTACAAAAGCAGACGTTGTAAGGAGCAGTTTAAGTCCAACATTCCCTCAGAAAGACAGTGTGTCCTGAGAATGGTAAAGGCCACATCTCCCTGCATGTGCATCCCTCCTGCTGTCTTCCTCTGGAGAGGTATGTGGGGTGGCTGAGTGGTTGCTCCCCAGCTCTCCTCCACCAAAGGCTCAGGTGACAGTTTCTAAGACTATACCAAGAGGAAATCAAGGTGCTCAACTTTCCAAGATCCAAAGCCCCAACCACTGCAAACAGCAGGATCCTCATGAAGCTGTAAGCTCCAGCTTCCAATGTCCACTTCTGCCTTCCACATCATGCTCATTAGTATGACAGGTAGATGGGGGATAGCGTGGGAGAGACACAGAGCCTACAGACAAGGCGAGAGCCAAGAATCTGTACCTAAAGCTAAAAATGTAAAACCCATTTGAAAGCTAATTAGTTTCTTGATATTCATGCAAACCATTTTTAAATTAAACCTTAAATCCGAAAATACAATTTGCTCTTCATTTTTAATCATGTCCTTATGGGGGAAAATACTTAGAGGGAAAAACTTCTAAAAAGCAAACTTTAAACACATTTAACATTTAATTTGCATCATTAAAGTTTACAACTGGAAATATATCACTGAACAAAGAGAACATCTTCTGTACTTCACAGCTACATTGTCTAACAGCTAATGAGCTTTAAAATTACTCAAATATAAATAACGTTAACTTTCCTCCCTGACCTGCTGTTCCCTTAACAATTCAGACCTATGGGAGCTAGAAACTAATCCAACAGTAATGTATACATGTAGGTGAAAACCAACAGCAAAATAAGATTTATAAATGCTCATCACTCTAAGCATTTACAGTACTACAAGCATTTACATGTACTGACTCACTTAATCCTCACAATATCCTTGTGAATTGAATTTATTATTATCCCCATTTTACCAATGGGCAAAAGTGAGGCACACAGGGGTTAGAGGCTGTTAAGGGCATGCAAACCCAGGCATTGGGCTACAAAGTGTGCACTCATAACCACTAATGTCTCAAACAGACGGAGAAGGATAGGAGAGAAAAAAACCCAAAGCCACAGAGGAGTAGAATGAGACCATTATAAACCTAAGGGCTGATCAAGTACAGGTAACAGCACTGGAAGTCAACAATCTTTTACCACAATGTTTAAATCTCAAAATTGGTGAACTGTAATATTTACTTTCACAGCCTTGAAAGTTAAAAGTTTTCAATTAGGCAACTGTAACTATGAAATGTAGGATAGTAGAAACTAGTAAGCTGACTTAATTAAAAGATCCCTTAGACGATCTAAATCTGCATTCCCCTCAGTAGGTTACACCAAGGGACTCCCATACCACATGACCAGGAGAGCCCTCTCCTGTAGCTCGTGCTCACCTCTGCTCCTACCAAGGAGGGAAGTCCTTACCCAAGTCAGTTGGGGACATTTCCAAGTTGTATTTATTGTAATTACCTAATAATTTAACTAAGCTTTACATAAATGGTCAAAATGTGAATGTGAAACAGACAGATATTATTTCCCCAGGGTAACTAAATTAGATACTTCAGGGAAGACTAAAAAAAGGCAGGTAACATTTACAAATTACTATTAAAGCAAGTAACTGAATAAATTTTGAAGAATCACAAAATCTGGCCTTCTCATTTGTACTTGCCAAGGGAAACTGCAGGGCAAAAATGCATCATGAGTACAATCTCTACAAGACAGAAAACTCCAACCAAAGGAGCCAACTCAAAGCAAAGACCTAGAGTCTATATATCAAAAGACAGTTGAACAACTGTCCACTAATGTGGGTAAATCAAAACAGAATACTTATAGTGTGTACACAGCACCCTTTGTATTTGTTAAATTGGCTGAGTGACCACTAGATCCAATCATATTACAGAGAAGGCCTTGGAGCACCTGGCTGGCTCAGTCAGTACAGCATGGGACTCTTGGTCTTGGGGTCTTTACTTCAAGCCCCACGTTGGGTGTGGAGATTAAAAGTAAAATCTTTGGAAAAAAAAAAAGAGAGAGAGAGAGAGAAGGCCTTTATTTAACCTGCTCTACACAGGATGAGGATGTCTATGAACAATGGAAGGCAGTATGTCATGAAGTTGGCAAAGCACCGGGGTGTCTAGAAGAGCTGACTGAGGAGCTCCAGTATGGTTATCAGCACAACACTACTGTGGAATGACCACAAACCAACTCGCCCCTCCAGAGCAAGTACACCTGCTAGCTGGTCATAATGCTAATGCTGAAGGACGACCTACAGACTCTGCCATTTGCAGCAGTATCTTGAGGATGCCCACTGAGAGTGCTATCTATCTCTTTTCCTATGAGGCAAGTCAACGGCAAAGACAGAATCTGATTTACAGAAATTCCCTTCACAAGTACTTCTGCAAAACTTCAGCTCTTCTGAACAGTAAGAAACAGCTGAGATTACCCCATTCTGGAAGTCTGGCAGCTGAATAAGAAAGAGGCTAGCTCTCATGGCTTGGTTAGTCTAGGGCTTAAAAACCCACCACCAACTCCAAGATAAATGGGCAAAGAAATCAAATTTATAAACAATCATACCATGTTTATCTTCACCAGTCATCAGAGAAAAGTAAACTAAAGCCACCTGACAATCCAATTTAGACCTAAAAACTTTTAGAGCTAACAACAATAGGAAATCTTTCAGGACAACTGAGAAACCAGTGTTTCATGAACTCCTAGTGGTGTTAGAAACTGGTAAACTGTTCTGAGAATCAACTGGGTAAATGGTATTAAGATTTATTGTCATCTTTCAGACGACATGATATAAAGTCCAAATTTCCCTCAAAACCATCCAGAGATAAGGAAAGGAGATGGAGGTGAAAGAAAATCAGGCATGATGTAGTGACTGAAGCTGGTAATGGACAAATGACAGTTTATTAAACTACTGTCCCTACTTCCGCATGTTTGAGAACTTTTATAAATTTCAATGGTATCAAAAGAAATATAAATGTCTATACCCCTTTACATATTAACTTAATAAACACAAATAAAAAATGTATTCTAAAACATATTTAACAGGAATGAAAAAGAAAATCATTAGATGTTTAAAGTAATATCTACCGGGGGCGGAGCAAGATGGCGGAGGAGTAGGAGACCTGGATTTCGTCTCCTCTCAGGAATTCAGCTGGATAGGGATCAAACCATTCTGAACACCTACAAACTCAAAAGGAGATCAAAGAAAAGAATAGAAACAACTATCTCATCAGAAAAGCGACCACTTTCTGGAAGGTAGGACGTGTGGAGAAGTGAATCCGAGGCGATATTCGGGAGGATAGACGGCGGAGGAGGGGCCTCCGTCGGCCGCTTCTGGCAAGTGATAGAGCCACGGAGCACAAAATCAGAACTTTTAAAAGTCTGCTCCACCGAGGGACGTCACTCTGGTGGCTAAGCGGGGGGTGGAACCCTCCGGGACAGTGTGGTCTCAGGACCCTCGGGTCACAGAAAGACCGGGGGTGCCTGAGTGTGGCAGAGCTCACAGGTAATGGAGCAGGGAAGCCGGCTGCAGAGGCGGAGCCCAGGCGCGGGCTCTCAGCTCGGGGTTCTTATAAACCGTGATCCGCGGCACAGTAGGGCCACTGCTCCTCCAGCAGGGACCCAACAAGCGGCAGATCTGGGGAGACTCACCTTCCTCCCCTGGGAGGAGCAGCGCGGGAGTGCACCGCAGGGATCTGCTGGGTTTGGAGACTCCACCGGGGGTCGGGTGCGAGAGATAGAAACGCGCGGTCACAGGCCAGGTGAGCACGGAGTACGGCCGGAGACCGGGGAGACGGGAGTGACTGACGGCTTTTCTCTGGGGGCTCACTGAGGAGCAGGGCCCGGAGTTCTCGGCTCCTCCAGGGCAGAGACTGGGAGGCCGCCATTTTCACTCTCCGACTCCAAAGCTGTACGGAAAGCTCGCAGGGAACAAAAGCCCCGGAGAGCAAACCCGAGCAGATTATGTAGCCGGGAGGGGGCAAGGGCGGGGCAATTCCGCCTACGGCAAAGACATTTGGAAACCACGGCAACAGGCCCCTCCCCAGAAGATCAGCAAGAACAGCCAGCCAAGACCAAGTTTACCGATCAATGAGAACGGCAGAACTCTAGCGCTAGGGGAATACTGCACATAGAATTCATGGCTTTTTTACCATGATTCTTTAGTCTTTCAAAGTTAATTTTTTTTTAACTGTCTTTTCTTTTTCTTTTTTTTTTTTTTTGAGTTTTTCTTTTTCCCTTTTTCAACCAACATCTTATCAATCCCTTTTTTTAAAAAAATGTTTTTATTTTTCATTTTTAGAGTCATATTCTATCACTTCATAGTAGTTACCCGTATGTTTGGCATATATATATAAGTTGTTCTCTCTTTAAAATTTTGAGATAGTTTCTTCTAACAGATCAAAATATACCCTAAATCTCTAGTATATGGTTTTTTCTACTCCCCTGCCTGATGACATTCTCTCCCTTTTTTTTTTCTTTTTTTAAATCCTCTTCTTTCTTTTTTCAAACAACTTCTTATCAATTCCTTTTATAAAATTATTTATAATTTCCATCTTTACAGGCATACTCCATCCCTTCATCATATCAAACCTTATTTTTGTACATAGATAAGTTTTTCTTTCTTTAAAATTTTGGGAGGCACGTTCTTCTAAAAGACCAAAATACAACCCAAATCTAGTGTGTGGCACTGATCTATATACCAGCCTGATCATATTTGATCACATTCTGTTTTTTTTGTTGTTGTTGTTCTGTTTTGTTTGTTTTTGTTTGTTTTTATCTTTATCTTTTTCTTTTTCTTTTTTTTCTTTTTCTTTTTTCTCTCTTTCAGTTTCTTTTTCCACTGCTTCAGGTCCTTTCTGATTTGTTTAGAGTATATTTTCTGGGGACATTGTTACTCTGCTAGCATTTTGTTCTCTCATTAATCTATTCTCCTCTGCACAAAATGACAAGATAGAAAAAATCATCTCAACAAAAA